CTCTGACCCCCTCCCCAGGCCTTGATTTTAGCATCAACCAAAAACTTTTCTAGATTTTTATTGACTCTGCTTAATGAGCTACCTTCCCCTTTTGGGATGTAAAATAATGTAGAATAGCTGTAAATTCTTGTCCATTGTCCAAAATGGAGGTGAGTAAGAATGTCCATCTGATGGGCCATTTTCACAGCACCACAGGTGTGAGGCTCCATCCCCGGGGCAGATCCAGGGCCTTTAATGCCATCAGAGATGCAAAGTTTGGGTCAGACCTGGGGTCCCAAAACACTCTAAGAGTCACCTCCCAGAGGAGCAGTAGGGCTTGCAGAAGCCTAAAGAGACAGAAAACCTCTATTCCCTGTAGAAACTTTAATCCTCTCAGGAGAGTTCTATTTCTGTTGGAAATCCAAGACTTTGCAAACAAATAGGATAAGACCTTGCAAAGTCACAGGGTGAACATAATATTAGAGTGTAGAGCTTACAATTCTTATGCAGGGGGAAAAAACCTGAGCTAAGTATTCCCTTTCATTAGAAGTCTCTATAGGTAGAATGAGCTACCTTCCCCTTTTGGGATGTAAAATAATGTAGAATAGCTGTAAATTCTTGTCCATTGTCCAAAATGGAGGTGAGTAAGAATGTCCATCTGATGGGCCATTTTCACAGCACCACAGGTGTGAGGCTCCATCCCCGGGGCAGATCCAGGGCCTTTAATGCCATCAGAGATGCAAAGTTTGGGTCAGACCTGGGGTCCCAAAACACTCTAAGAGTCACCTCCCAGAGGAGCAGTAGGGCTTGCAGAAGCCTAAAGAGACAGAAAACCTCTATTCCCTGTAGAAACTTTAATCCTCTCAGGAGAGTTCTATTTCTGTTGGAAATCCAAGACTTTGCAAACAAATAGGATAAGACCTTGCAAAGTCACAGGGTGAACATAATATTACAGTGTAGAGCTTACAATTCTTATGCAGGGGGAGAAAACCTGAGCTAAGTATTCCCTTTCATTAGAAGTCTCTATAGGTAGTGATTTTCCTACTTAACCAAAAAAAATAAAAAATAAAAATCAGTGGAAGGGCTTCCCCCTCACCTATTAAAAGGAGAAAGATAGGTATCTTTAACTGAAAGCAAGGTATCACAAAATTCTTTAATTATAAGCTCATAGGAGCTTTGAGCTCATCTTGTATCTTCTTGGCTTTCAGCAGGATGGCATTAAGCCTTCCTGAAAAGATAAGACTCAACCTATTTTTAAACATATCCAAAGAGGGCATTCCAGTTTCTGTTCCTTTGTTAGAAAGCGGATTTTTTTTTTCCCCTTTCTAACCTCACCACAGGTGAACTTTTCCTTTTACTAACCTGAAGTCTTCACATTAGAGTTGGGCTTGGTTTGCTCAGTAGAGATGGTGAACAGTTGGCCATCAACAGCCTTTTCTAAACTGAACTTCCATCTGTCCATCTGTATGAAATTATTACAATTAATTAGGATATTTGGATTTAAATCAATAAATGTGGAACTAGACGCCAACAGAATGACTCACGGACATGGCAAAAGACTGCCTCCCTTCTTTTTGTGATATCTTTTCCTTTCTCTGCCGTCAGCCAATGCTAACATCTCTCTCTTCCCCATCTCTCTTACAAAATTCCCCCACAAAACACGTTTGCCTGCACACACACACACTACAACAAATGTGTACACTCTCACTGGTAAATAGAAAAACATCCCTGAAGCAGCGATTTAACATTTAGGCCTTATCCTTCACTATTCACATCAAGGGGTGTGAAACACTGTTCGGGTTTCAATCCTGGCTCTGGCACCTTGAACAAATGTTGTAATCTCACTATGTAAGCATTTTCTCAACTATAGGATGAAGGCAATAAAAGAAACTTTATAGGATTGTGGAAAGGATTAATGAGTTCGTACATGAAAAGTCCTTAAAATGGTGTCTGATACTCTACTCCTAAAAAGTATATAGCTGTTAGCTATTGTTATACAGTTCTTGCAGCAAAGAGATATTCAGAGGCATCAAATGGTGCCCGATATTCAAGAAGGCAAGAGTTTAAGAAACAAAAGGAGTAGCAGACAAGTTTAAGGGAAATGGATGAGTAAGAAGAGACACCAGGGTGAAAGACTAAAGAACAAAAAGCATAGAGAAAGGGCAAAAGCAGACATTTAACAGAGGATAGGCAGAGAAGAACATAAGGGAAAAGAAAAGAAAGAAGAGAAAAAAGGAAAGAAAAAGGGAAACAAGAGCAAAAAGGTGGACATGAAAAAGAAAAACAGAGAGGGAAAGGAGGACTGAGAATAACAAAGGAGATAGAAAATTGGAAAAGACCCCATTTACAGCTTGTACTGGGTATCAGGAAAGGAAAGGAGTGGAAAAGAAAACAAAAATGTTGCTATAGAAACAGGGACCCTTGGGGCAGAAAGGAGGGGTAGAGAGGAGGAGACAAAAGTGGGAACAGAGGAGGCTTCCTTTGCAGCCATCTCCTCCACCTCTCTAAATTGTGGGAAGTTGACACGTTCACTTAACCCACCCTGGATCCTTAAGGCTTCTGTCCCTGTTCCTCCTGTTTCAATTTGCTTTAGTGTCTGCCCCAGACTTAGCCCCTAAGATTTGCCCTGGTCAGATGTCTGTCTGCCTTGTGTCTTGTCTGACAAGATCAATGTGCAGTGATCCAGTCTTTATTTGATTTTCACCAAACAGCCGTCGTTCTCAAGTGAAATTTAGCTCTGGAACAGATATGTACACATTCTTCCTACTCCAAACATTCAGAAACCTGTAAAGGGAGCTGGTATTTAATTTTTTAAATTATTTACCTAACGGCTTTCTTCCCCCCCCCCCCCCTTTTTTTTTTTTTTTTTTTTATTTGTCAATTAAGAACAAGAGGAAAAAATGATACAGTACTGCAGGGATATGCCGCTTTTAGGGTTCCAGCTTGTCCTCTCCTGCAAAGCGAATTAACCATCCAACCACTTGGAAACGGGAGACGTCGGGCCGGGGTTTAAGATAAAAGCAGCATTTAAAAAATACTTTTTAAGTTTTATCATGATTAAATTGCCTGTTTGGTACAAAATAGGTCCCCTTGTTTGAGGAAGTCTAGAGACCTTCAAGAGCCCTCTAAACAGAGGAACTGAACGGACCGCTAGCGTCTCCCCATGCCAGGGTGAGCCCGAGTCGTCTCCGTCGCCGGAGTCACGAAGCCAGACGCGGTGCGCGTCTCCGCCCAGGACTCGGGAGACTGCAGCAGCGCGATCAGCGGCGGCTGCGGCCCGGGAGGCTCCTGGAGGCGGGGAGGAGACGCGACTCCCGCAGACACGTGACCTCCTCCCAGCTGCCGCTTCCCGCGACCCAGATCCGTCCCCGGAATCCGCGCCTGGCGGGGCGGGCCGGGAGACACGTAGCGACAGCCCCAGTCCCTGCTGCGCCCCTGTGCGTGTACAATCGGAGTTCTCGCCTTGGTTCACATGCCACTTGGCAATAATTACTGTTTCGGAGATCACCCGGGGAGAATATAAATATTCCTTCCAGTGCAGGAAAAATCTTGGCTTTAGATCTATATGTATATCAAAATTAATATATATTTCCTCCATCTCAGCCCCGGCAAATCCGAGTAGCGGCAGCAGCGGAGTCGGAGACCTGGGAGTCCCGCAGGACACGCTTTCCCTTGCCCCAAAGCCCCTCGCCGCGCTGGGCGGCGTATGCAGTGCGCATCTCCGGCACCTCCCGGTCACTCTCACTAGCAGTGAGTCATGCGCCCGGGTGGCCCTGGGGAAAGGTGGCCCGGCTCGTGCTAGCCTGTGCTTCCCCGCGCCGAGCGCCGCGGCTGCAGGGCGAGCGCGCGCGCGCACGGGTTCCCCGCGCAGTGATGTGGCAGCAGCGGCAGGTCGGATCACGTTGCTGGCCCTGTGCTGGTACCCGTTTGAGACAGGATTAAGGAGGAAGGCTTTGGAGGTGCCAGCGGTAGTAAACGTGGGTTCTGCACACTCCCGGCGTCTCTTGTCGCACGGGGGATGGGGGAGGATAGGGGAAAGCACGTAGCGTCACCGGAGGCGCAGAGGGGCGGCGGAGTTTAGTGGGCGACTGATAAATGCTGCATTGCTTCTCCGTGGTAGCCCCTCTCCTGCCACCACCTCCTCCCTCCCACCCCACCTCCCTCGGTCCCCGCAGCCTTCCTCCCGGAACACACGAGGCCCTAAACATCGTCATCTGCTGCTGTGATTAGTGGCACCGCAATTCCGGCTGATGCGGGAAGTTTAGGTGGCCCAGGGACACCGTGTCGCCGAAAGACATTTGGATTGCGACATTTTGGCCCAATGACTATATTTTCATGTATCTTAAATCCTTCACGGAGCGGATTTCAAGTTGCCCCTTTTCGGAGCAACCTCCAACCAGCGCCAAGGGGTCCCCCCAGGTCACTGAGCGGTGAGCAAACAAGTCTCCGAAATTTCCTTCGGGACTGAAGTTTACCCGCCGACAATTCTCTTTCTCTTTTCTTTCTCCGGTCCAAACCAACAACCCAATCGGTGGAAAAGGAAAAAGCCACGTTCACGTTCCTGCACCGTAATGACTGACGAACGGAGGGAGTCGCATTTCCGAGCCAAGGAAGCCCTGGCTGCCCCGCACCCCTGCGCCCTCCCTCCCCCGCACCCCGCCACCCCTCCCTCGCTCCCCAGGCTGACTGCATCGCCTTTGGGAAGATGAATAGCTTGGCCGAAGTTGTTTTTCCTTTCCGGTGGCCCTGATCAGGTGTCCCCGCCCCCTCTCGCCGCCTTCTCCCGACGCCCCTTCCCGGCCCGGCCCCTCCTCCCCCCGCCCCCCTCCGGGCTGGACCGCGGATGGTACGTTCCGCACGTGAGCTGGGTGCTGGTCTGGCCGGCGACGCGCGTGCCCTGTGGCCAAACACTGCCCGGAGTGAGAGCAAACTACCAGTGCAGTGGGGCCGGCGCGAGTGTGCGTGTGCGTGTGCTTGTGTGTGTGTGTGTGTGTGTGCGCGCGAGAGAGAGAGACAGAGAGAGAGCGAGGTGGAGGGGGGACCAACTGCTTCACACTTTCAACACTGCACTGAAAGACTGGAGACGCACAGATCCCCCCGAGATCTCCCAAGGCTACAGTCCCACAGATTATAGAACAGAGCCCCAAAAATCGAAACAGAGGAAACGGACAGCGATTGAACATGGACGAAGGAATTCCTCATTTGCAAGAGAGACAGTTACTGGAACATAGAGATTTTATAGGGTAAGGTGCACGCACCCTTGCGAATATCTGTCTAGGCTTCGGTTTGATTTTTTTCTTCTCCAGAAAGTGGTATGGAGCGGGCAAGGACAGAGCCCCTCCCCGAATGGGTGCCTGATGCTGATTTCTGTTTTGCAGACTGGACTATTCCTCTTTGTATATGTGTAAACCCAAAAGGAGCATGAAGCGAGATGACAGCAAGGTAAGTGTAAGTTTCCAATGTTCCCCCTAACCTGCCTGGATAGTTAATTATGGCCACTGATTTCACAGTGAAGCTCTGCCCGCAAATATATTCCAGCCCCTGAGCTTCCCCAACTGTGAATTTTAAGTGGCTTGCTGGATACTCTCAGGGGCATATTAAACATCATACCTGAATTTAAATTGGGTTTAAGAACAGTCCAGAGGAAAGAGGTTTCTTGGGCATAGTTTATCACATAGTATGTTTTATGGGGAGAAGGGCGTTATATTAAGTAAGTGCATGTTTAGCTTATTGTTTTCTCTCTTCCACGACTCTCATATATTAAGGATACCTACAAATTACCGCACAGATTAATAGAAAAGAAGAGAAGAGACCGAATTAATGAATGCATTGCTCAGCTGAAAGATTTACTGCCTGAACATCTGAAATTGACAGTAAGATGCACATTTTCATTCTTTGCTGCTCTCCAAGGGCGTGTTAATAGCCTGCTAGGACTCCCAGAGATATAAGAATAAATGTAAATATTAGATGCCTGACTTACAACTTGTGCTGTAGTGTACGGAGTTTCCCACAAACTCAAGAGTAGGTGCTCGCTCCCAGATGAAGGCAAGAAATCATTTATAGCCTGTCTTGTGGAAAGCTCAAGAAGTATAAGAATAGTACTTCTTTCAAAGTGTTAGTTTAAGTTGCTATGCTGAATAGAAAGCCAATCAAGCAAAATGTGTGTTGTAACCAAGTGCCCCCTTCTCTTTTGCACCACTGCAGACTCTGGGGCATCTGGAGAAAGCCGTAGTCTTGGAATTAACATTGAAACACTTAAAAGCTTTAACAGCCTTAACCGAGCAGCAGCATCAGAAGATAATTGCTTTACAGAATGGTAAGTCAGTTCGGGGAGGCCACCCTACCCTGATGAAGCGGGGCAGCCCACAGAGGAGCAGTGTTAGGGCTCCCCACCCCCACCTCCTCTCTGGGCCCACGGGCTCACTCATTTGTTAAATTGCTTATACTTTCCCTTCATTGGAAAGTGCCCATTTCCCGAAGCATCCTAAAGCTTTCTAACTCCGAGGAATAAGATTTTTATTTAAACTGGCGGTCGCACCCTGTCCGCTTTGGTTTTTCAGCTGGGAGGAGAGAGCCCTTCCCCCGCTCCCCACCCCTCGCGCCACCCCCTTCTCTCGGCAACCGGTGGATTATATCACTCGAATACTGAGGAAAAACCGAGATCACTGTAGTCAGTGCGGGGCCCACGTGATGAGCAGATGTTTTAACGTCGGTATTTTTCTTGCTTCCATGCCTTTGTCCCCCACCCCCTTCCTCATCCTAGGGGAGCGAGCTCTGAAGTCGCCCATTCAGTCCGACTTGGATGCGTTCCACTCGGGATTTCAAACATGCGCCAAAGAAGTCTTGCAATACCTCTCCCGGTTTGAGAGCTGGACACCCAGGGAGCCGCGGTGTGTGCAGCTGATCAACCACTTGCACGCCGTGGCCACCCAGTTCCTGCCCACCCCCCAGCTGTTGACTCAACAGGTCCCTCTGAGCAAAGGCGCCGGCGCTGCCTCGGCCGCCGCCCCCGCCGGCCCCGCCGCCGCCCCCCCTGGAGCGCGCAGGGCAGAAGCTGGAGCCCCTCGCCC